GTGTGTGTGTGTGTGTGTGTGTGTGTGTGTGTGTGTGTTGCACATAAATCTGCCCTGAGTGGAACAGAAACCTGTGTGGTGTTTGGTTTCAGAGTCCCAGGACGGGAATTACAAGTCAGACGTGAGCAGCAAGCCCAGGAAGGAGAGGACGGCGTTCACCAAAGAGCAGATCCGAGAGCTGGAGGCCGAGTTCGCCCACCACAACTACCTAACCCGACTAAGACGCTACGAGATCGCCGTCAATCTCGACCTCACTGAGAGACAAGTACGTTCCTGCTGCTGGTTTCAGGTTCAGACACTATTGAGCCCTCACATTAGCACATTAATGCCATGTTGTGAAAACAGAGGCGGCTTCGGGACGACGACGAGGCTTTTCAGCTTGTGCTCCAGATGTGGCTGTGTGACGGAACTATTGTATTCCAGATGTTCCTGTCCATTCTTTCAGCCAGGCCACAGTCAAAACAGGGAGACGGGCTGAAGGAAGTGCTGTCTAGCAAGTCACTTCCTCTCGCCCACTGCCCCTTGCAATGCAGAGAAAAAAGTTGGTCGGGGCCGGTTGCTGTAAAACGCAGGCACATGAAATAAATAACAGGAGAGCAGTGGTGGAGGGAAGGAAACGCTCGTACAGCCCGTTGTTCTCTGACACCCGAGTGGAAGCTGTAAGTCACTGAGCTGACACCTCGCCGGTGATAGTCTGCAGCGTGATACAGTGAAGATTGGATGTAAGGGACAGATCAGATACAGGAGCAGGTGAAGCCTCAGATTCAAACCTTCACTTCTGTGTGAGGCGCAAACATCTCGTGTCTGTGCAGATTTATTTACGTCCTGCTTTCGTAAATCGAGTTCACACAAAACTACAGAAAAGTGCTGATGAAGTCACGTGAATCCTCTCATGCAGGATAATAACTCTAGTAGACGATTTGATTTGTGCAGCTAATAACATCACCAGTGGCACCATTCCATTTAGCTCTGGGGCCCAGACGTTTTATTGTGCATTGACTGGGACACCAGAATGGAACAGAGCCATGATTAATGCTGTTAGTTCTACCTGCTTTTCCTGTAATGCCTTATTAAAACGTCGGCCTGTCAGAAGGTTCCAAGGCCATATGAAAGAAAGGGACATAAAATAGAAATTAAGAGCTTAACTAGAAGGACAAATTAAACAATATAAAAAAACATTTAAGTGCAGCAAAAAAACAGTCTTGACTTTAATCTAATAAAGCGTCGATAAAGAGAAAATCCCTGATTTAAATGAACTCATATCGGCCGATATTATCATCCAAGCGATATATTGATTTGGCTCCAGTGTTATCATCGGGGCCTCGCTTGATAAAACTGCACAGGACATCCACTGGTGGTTCGATGCTGAGTTTCCCAGTGACTGAAATCATCTGCAGGTGCATTTTAACGTCCTCTCAAACTAAAGTGAGCTGTAAAACCTTCTCTGTCACATTTAGGAGCGAACTCATCAGTTTGCAAGAAGCTAGAAACTGACATGAAGAGTGATAAATACACCGAGTGTGTAAGAAAAAACCTCTGCTTTCGCTCAGCATCACAAAAAAACCTCCACATAACTCCAGTCAGCGCAGACACCTTCGTTCCACTTCAACCGTCTCCCAGACCGCTGCGATAAATCCTGCCTTGGCAGCAAGCGGCACAAAACGTGCATGAAATGCGTGCGGCTCATGCACCGCAAGTTGTGTGTGACCTCAGCTTTTGTCGCGGAAAATACACAGCGGGAGATAGCGAGGTAAATATTGGCGTTACAATCGGTGGTGCACGGCGCTTGATTTACGCCGTATGAGCTGTTTGGAGGAATCTGCTGGATGTTTAATGGATCCGCAGGCCGTGAAAACTGGAGCAGATTCAAAGATGGCAGAGGTGGAGCTGCAGAGCCTCGCTTGTTGCAGCTTTTAGAGTTAAAGCCAGAATAAGAAAGGAAAAAGGAATTGAAGTTTTCCAAGTAAGCACACGTTTTCAGATTAATAAATATCTCAATCAAAACCAGGCGGAATTTTGTTAAACCTTTGAATTACATATAACTACTGTCAGCAGAAAGTACTCACTAACGAGCTGTGAAAACTTCATGACGTCTTTCACCTGATGTAACCCAGTTTTAATCCAGCTGCTGTTTCTCCGTGGATAATTAAAAGACCCGTTTCAAAACAACCCAAACCGTCAGGTGCTAACCAGCACAGAGGTCAGGAGTCTTAGGATGTGATGTTGTGATTTAACGGGAGGATCACATGTTCGGTTTGACATCAGAGCCTGTCACAAATCAGTGATCGTTTGCCGGAGTCCCCCCCCGCTGCTTCCAGAAAAGGCCCAAAGGCTTGTAAAGAATCCGAGGTGACGCTCGGCCCGGCGTACGCCCCTGACGCGCAAGACAAACGTTTGTGCTTTCAACTAACTTCCTGTCCAAGTGAGCGCTTGGGCCCCCTCGGACCAACGCTCCCCCAAAAATAAACCCACCTCACCCTGCGTGACAGGGGGGTGAGCTCGGTCTCCCTCCTCTCCCTCCCCTCCCCTCAGGCGCATGTGTCAACACTCCGGGAGCCTCTGCTGCTACTTGACGTGCAAACCGTTTTAAGCAACAGCTTAATCATCAGTCTGAGAGACGCAAATACGGCCGAGGCTGTTGAGTCAGGGAAAAACAGGTAGACGCCAAGTGGCAGATGGAACAGAACGTGTGCACATAATTGCTGCAGGAGAAGTAGCTGCCAAACTGAAAGTTTGTGTGAAGCAGTGAAGCTTCATCGTTGCTTCTTGATTACTTCTGTGACTGTTTGTGTCGCCGCTCACAACCCGTGCATCTGACTTTTGCTCTGTGCCCTCTGACCCGCAGGTGAAGGTGTGGTTCCAGAACAGGAGGATGAAGTGGAAAAGGGTGAAGGGCGGCCAGCAGGGGGCAGCAGCTCGAGAGAAAGAACTGGTGAACGTGAAAAAGGGAACTTTGCTGCCGTCTGAGTTCTCTGGCATCGCAGCGCTCCACCACTCGACGGACTCCTTAGCCAATGAGGACAGTCACGACAGCGACCAGAGCTCCGAGCACGCCCACTTATGATGCACCCCGCCCTCCCTCTCCTCCTCCGAGTACAGGCCCCGCCTCTGCCTCAGGACTGTCCCTAGCGGGACTGCTGTTTGCTGAGCTGCCATCGTCATACAACGATGCTAAACAAGTGTACAAATGTACAGACGAATGACGTGTGTCGGAGAATACGGTCATCACGCAGGCAAAATGTATATTTCAAGAACTGAGCACGTGAAGGCAAGATGGTGAAATATATATTAAAAAAAAAAAACATTGGTTATAAGTTTTCCTTTATAAAAAAAATATGAAAACGTGATGTTTTAGTTACAGAAATTCACTAAACGGGACATTTGGGAAATCATATCTAGTCAAAGTGTTGTAAACATTCCATGTTGCGTGCTGTGAGAGACGCAGGCTGCGGCTTTGATTTGCACTGTTGAACGCACAGTCTGCACCTCAGTCAGTTCCTACTGTATAAAAATGTAAAGTACGATGTAATTGATCAAATCAAGTATCGGGAGATGAAATTTGCCGAGCTAATATAAATGATCTGTAAATACTTCTCAGTATTGTCTTAACAGTAGTTTTATAGCCACACTGTTCAGCTCACGCAGTAATAAACACTGACGGTTCTTTAGTCGACACTTTTCTGCCTCGTGATGACATTTTGTAAACAAACCTGAAAACTGAAATAATTATTAAATCTTTTCAGTGACAGTTGCAAATTGAATAAAATTTAACCAGTGGTAAATGGAATTTCTTATGATTTCATTCCGTGTGCACGTCCATGGGAATCCGGGCCGATGGATTTGTGTGAGGGGCAGCGAAGCTGAAATGAATTAAACATTTGCAGTGAGCGTAGAAAGCCGGTGACGGCGTTGCGTGCTAACTTCACCTTTGCCTCAGGGTAAGGTCACGATTGCTGCCAAGACTCAGGGAGCGAACCCGCAAAAGGATCAGATTCCGTTACAGAATCCAGTTGAAAATAATTTCACGAGTGGATCTCGTCTTTCACCACATTGTGATTGTGCATTCTAATTTGTGGAGAGGGGCACCTCACATGACATGTGCGGCTTGTCTTGGTTTTTTTTTTTTTTTTTTGTTTTTTTCCCCTGAAGCAAATCCATGGGATGAATGTGATCCTTTCTTTTTCTACATTGCAACTGTGAAAGTATTCACAAGTATTGAGGACACTCACCTCTCCCACCAGTACTGAATCATCTAACTTTTTACACAATGAAAAATACAACAGATTATAAACGTTATGTCTTAAACGCTCATCTTCAAATAGTAGATTTGGATTGAAACTTTTGATTTGTGGACTATAATGATTTTTTTTTTTTTAACACGTCTCATGATTCTATGGTGTCTTAACTGCATGATCACAAGGCGTTATCCTCTGGTCGCAGGTCACAGTCACATGACGTTCCCATTAAAACACAATGCTAGTGTTAAATCAGGTTTGGGCTGTAAGGCGGCCGCGAGAGCTCAACACACCACAACTTTTATAAACAGATGAAATAGATGAATTCAATTTAACAACATATGTGAAGTAAATAGAAATCACGCTACAAATACTTACTCGAAAGCTTCTACCAACAGAATAATGTCGTACCGCTGTGAACCAGGTCAAAATCTGACAAGCTGTTTTCATTAGATTGTCCTCCGACCAATCAGCACCTGGTTATTTGTACTAATCTCTTTGGAATCGATCTTACAATGATAATAAATCATGACCATCTCCTTCTCTCCAATAGATAAACACGAGGAGCGAAGATAAACATTTTAATATTGTTGGGAACAAAAATACGAGTACACACACTCGGTGTGGAGAGCTTTCCAGTCACAACTGTAAACTACAGGTTCTGTAATTATAAAACAATATAATAAAAAGTCAGAAGATTAAAACAAATATCTTGGACTTTCCTCATATTTTGTGTTGGTAATTGCAGACAACAACTGGTGAGAAGAAACCTTTCAGCTTGTCTCCTCTTGGTCTGGATTATGAAAATCTAAAAGCTCCGAGGTGCTTCATGCTTTAATGAGCATGAGAAACTGTTTCTTGGAAACCCTTGATTATTTGGGTCATAACCCACTTTTATAAAATCATTCCATAACTCTTCACTGTGATAAATAATGAAAATCAGATATGCACAGTAGACAGAAGAGTCGTCTGTTGATTTTACAGTGACCCGGAGCACACATGAGGTTTCTGTACTGAACTCTGTACATCTGCTTAGAATGATAACAAAGGGTTTTTATACCCAAACATGTTTCACATCTAAATCCTGTTAAAACTCAACAGAACTCAAACCAACATCTGTGATTTATAACCATGAATACAGAGGTGAGAAGTACTGAAGTACAAATACTTTACTGTGATTACGTGACCTTCAGTGGAAACCTTTATAATCATATTTATACTTAAAGTAGATTTCAGAGCCTGTACTTGTATACTTTTACTCATTTAAATACTTTCTATATAGTATGTATACTATTCATATACTATCTATCTTTATATTGAATCAGTACGTATACTATCTACCCATCTATCTTTTATTATACTTTATATAATATCTATCTATTGAATCAGTACATATACTTTATATAATATCTATCCATCTATCTTTTAGTGTACTTTATATAATTTCTTTATAATAACTTGCCCCTCATAATAAACTTGGGTTCATTGCATAAGTGTGAACAGAAGAAACACAGACACCAGGATCAGGAGCAAAGGTTGAAGTCTGAGTCTCTGGGGAAAGATCAGAAACCTGCGGCCACTTTAAGAGAACAACACTTCCTGTTTGTGAGGAGAACTTTTCTCATGGGGGGAGTTTCACAACTGACCTACCTCACTACACACACACACACACACAGACACAAACACTCACTCTGAGCTGCAGGCTGGGACACACACACACACGCACACACGCTCACACACACACACACACAGGAGCGCAGCGCAGGTAACAGAGACTCACCTGCAGAAGCACCGCGGGGAGGAGGCTGCTCATGTCCGACACTGGCACCATGTCCACGGGGTTCCGGGCCATGTTCTCCCTGCTCACACCGAACGAGTCCTCGTTCCAGAGGGTGGAGGATGTCCCTCACTATGTGCAGCAGGTGGGTCTGATGACAGGTGTGTGTGTGTGTGTGTGTGTGTGTGTGTGTGTGTGTGTGTGTGTGTGTGTGTCCTCAGGTGGTTCCCTGTGTGTATTCAGGTTATGAGACTTAAACGCTCTGAGGCTGCAGAAATCACACTGAGAGATGAACTCAGTGAGATGCTTCTCCTGCACATGATGCAGTCAGTATTACATGTGTGCTACATTATGACTGTGCATGCAGACATGTCCTCACTACAGTACCTGGGAAACATCCTGCATGTCTATATACTGGTTCTTGTCAGGACCAGTAACCTCGTGGGGAACAAACCCCGGTTCTAATGAAGTCAGTGATCAGATGTGAGTTCTGGTTAAAGGTCCAGTGTTGTCAGATTTAGGTTAAAGGGAACTATTGGCAAAAATTTAACGTAGAATAATCCTCATGATGTTTTCATTAGTTCATTTCATCTAAATTGTATGAATTGTAGTTTTCTTTACCCCAGTAAAGACCCTTTATATTCAAATACTTTATATTTACATGGAGGGGACCCTCTCTACGGAGGCCGCCATGTTTTTTACATTAGTCCAGACTGGACAAACTAAATAAACTTTGAGTTTTTATGACAACTGAAGTTACCACAGGTTCTTCTTCATGTTTGGAAGGAGAGGGTGAGGTGAGCGGTGATCAGCTGCAACATGAAACTTCAACACTTTAAGGTGAATGGTCAGATGTGAGTTGTGGTTAAGGTCGGCGATATAAGAGACATTCTGAAGCTTAATTGACCAGAACAATCATATGATGTCTTGTGATCATTGTCATGAAGGAGTCACAATGAAGACAGGACGTCATGGTCAGTTTTAAATAATGCATTCTTCAAGGTGTCAGCATCTCACAGGACAACAGACACTACAGGTCAATCGATCATTGACCATGATGACCATGAAATAATGACAACTTTACTTAAAGTCCTAAATCACTCGGCTCAACAGAAATATAAAAACACAGTTATACTGTAGTTTTCATGTTTGTATCTTAAATTAAAAGTAAAGAAAAGTAAATCATGGGCGTCGCAGCTGTATTTAAGTGCAACACTTCAGTAAATCTGCAGTCGGGGTTCCTCCTACTTGTTTCTGTCACTTTACTGTGTCTCATTTGCCTTTTTTATGGTGGCGAATGTCTGGTGCAGGTTTAACAGCACGTGTTTGTTATGAGGTTTTTACAGGGCACATCAGGGGAGGAGAACAATTACCCTCACAGCAGGAGTCCTTAGAATCCACTACCAAACATGATGAAACAAATGTGTTGTTGCCGCGGGGCTCAGTGGTTATAAGAGTGTGTATGGGTGTGTGTTCGGCGTTTGTGACTCAGCACTGTTTACAGTTTGCGCTGTGTCATTAATTACTCTGCACATTTGTTGCTCTTGGAACCCAAAGGCCAAATTAATTAGAAAAAACAAAAAATCAATCTGCAAATTTTGCATTTGTTTGGAATTATCAGCTTGTGTTGCCCGGTCTCTTCTGCTGATTCGAAAGCAAACAAAATATCTCTGAGACAGTAATGATAAAAGTTTCTTGTTTTGCAGCCAACATCCGTTACCTTATTAAAAAAAAAAAAAAGTCTGTTTGGGGAAAAAAAGCAGACATCTGGTCCACAAACATCATGTTCTATATGAGGTTGAAAATAAAATAAGATTATTAGAAACCACAACAAACAGTCACACACATGCTGCAGCATGAAGGAGGCTTTTTGATTTTTGGTTTATTTGTCAAAAGATAAAAACAAAGGGAAAGACGTTTTCATTGGATGCAAGTTCTGAAAAAGGACAGAAACGTTCGTATGAAACTAGCAGACAATAAGATGCATGTGCTAAGACGCCAGCTTTTTCCTCTTCTCCGCTTTTTTTTTGCACATGAGAATGAGCTTAGCCTGCAGAATAATTTTGTCCCGAGTTGTCAAGAAGTCGGAGCTGCAGAGGTAAAACTATCCTCTAGCCAGGAGAGGGGGGGACGGGGGGTTTAGGCCGGCGTCCAGAAAAATAATCTCTCTCTCAGCGGGTTCGGAGGAGGTCTGCCTGCGCTGCGAGGCCCATTTGTTCGCTGCAGCTCTACGGTCTGCTGCCAGATGTTGGACTGTTGCGTGTGATCGCACGTCCCTGTAGTTGCTCTCGCCTCTGCACGTGCACATGCATTCACACAGAAATCCATGTCGCACACCTGCATGCTCAAGTGGAAGCCTTCACATGTGAATATGCACAAACACACACACACACACACACACACTTCCTCCCTGCCCACCTGCAGATGTGTTCCTCTGCGATCCCGTCACACCCTCGCTCTTGGCGGGGGCCATGTGTCCCTGTTACGAGGCTTATGGTCTATGAGCGCCTTTGAGCTAAAGCTAACCAGCAGAGCAGCTGAAGTCGCAGTCGTGACCCGTTCGCTAACCCCGTCCCTCGCTAATTTGCTCCATGTTTGACAGACCCATTAAGAGGTTATTACACGTTTCCAGCACAGTTAGAAGTGGAGGCCTGTCACTGACTGTTTGGTTGGTGCTCGCCATTTGTTTTGTCAGAGCCGGTTACTGAACCTCATCCGTCCTTTGCAACTTGGGGAAAGTATTTAGTATTTAGAATTTTGTAATTTTTAATCATTGTTGGTTTGCCTCTAATAAAAAAAACGAACCTACATCCGATGCATGTCGGACTTTATGAATCAGATGTTTTGTGAAAGTGTAGTTTTTAATTTAGGGCGACTGTTTTACATGGGACATAAAAATGTGCAATACCTGCGAGGACAATGTCTCTAAAGACAAAACATCTTGGATTTGTCCTTAATTTACCTGCTTTTATCCAGTGACTGTAGATTTGCACCTTTTTAATCCTCACATTTTTATATTTAGAACTATGAAATGGGATGATTCAATTTTCTGTATGGATTACGTCTTGAATGGAGATGAAACTCTTTTCAGTCTAGAGCACAAAATATTACCATCTAGAACATATCTAGGAAGGTATTAGAAAAAAGTCAGGATTATAATTCTGTTGTGTTTCCACTAAAATTTACATTTAGGTTCCTGCGGAACTCAACATTTTGATGAAAATTTCATGACCTAATTTAGTTAAAGCTACAGTTACAGCATTTTTTACATTATTTAGAAGAATAAGCAGAATAACTTATATCGTAACCTTACTTAGATGACTTTATTTATTTTATCTATAAATTGTAAAACATCCCAACCCTCGTTCTGTTTGTTTGGTTTCCCCCCGACGTCGTTAAAAGTGAAAATGTGCGTTGTTGTGTTCGCCCCGTGGTTTAACTGAAACCCCTGAGATCACGTCGACCTCCAGAGCAGCTCTGCTAAGACAAATGTTTTTGATCCCTTATTTGCCAATACATTGTGGTTTCAGACCCGCTGCTCGAGCCTCGGGCAACGCAGCAAACATCACGGATCACAAGACAAGAAAGCGTTTCAAGCTTTCAGCTCATCTGCCAAAACACACTGAAGCTCAACACAACTAAAGCAACAGTGAACTCAAAACTGTCTTGTTTTCACAGTCTGTAATTGCTGATTCATGACTCTGTGTGTGTGTGTGTGTGTGTGTGTGTGTGTGTGTGTGTGTGTGTGTGTGTGTGTGTGTAGGCCACTCCTTTCTTCGTGGGGCTGATGGTTCTGGAGCTGGTGGTCGGTTCGCTGAAGTCAGGAACCCCGGTGGTCACCATCAGCGATGGCCTCACCTCCATATCTTCTGGAATGATCTCCAGACTCCCAATGTGAGTGTTGAGGCAGGTCAGGTTGTGACTGATTTAATTTAAAGGAACATCCTCACCAAAGCTCATGTGGTGTGGGACCATGGAAGCTGACGCTCTACGAATGCACCATTTTTCATGGGGATGATCATATTTCGGTCACTCTCACTTTAACCTGTTCCAGCTCCTCCTGCGGATGAGACGCATCATCCCTCCAGCGTGTTCTGGGTTTACCCTGCAGGAGCATGATCAAGATCCTGATATGCACCTACATAGGCAGCTTTACAACCTTACAGTCTTCTCAGCTGCTCCCTGGGACATCCGCCCATTCTCATTACAACCATTTTGACCCGTGTCTGATGCAGCATCATCTTTTCAGCCTTTAAACCAGCAGAAATGGATTTGTGCATTAGATTATGTTGTTAGGATAGAACCTGTGGACTGTGAGGTGAAGCTCTGACTGTCCCTCCCTCTCTCCAGGTTGTTGATGCGAGGCTGTGAGCTGACAGCGTACATGTACGTGTGGGACCACTTCCGACTGGTGGAGCTGCCCTGGGACTCTGCCTGGACCTGGTGGTTCACGTTCCTGGGGGTGGACTTCTGCTACTACTGGGTCCATCGCTTCGCTCACGGTACCAACACAAGACACCGATGTACACGGACGGGACAGGGGGTGGAGGGATCGGGGGGGGGGCAGTTCATTGAAACATTCCTCACACTCTTGTTTTCTTGTGTTTTCGATGTTGTGTGGTTTCAGAACTGTGTATTACCTGGAAACAAGTAAGCGTCACTCGACTGTTTAAGAAGGGAAATTGACAGAAGATCGACCTTTAATGACAAAAGTGATACTCGCCCTCATCCATCACAGTCGTGTGGAGGAACGCTCACGTCTTTAGGCTTAAAAAGGTGCATGTGACGGCTTTTGAAGTTCGCTCCTACACGGAGCATGGCGGCTGTGGTCAGCCTGGATTCATGGTGGTTACTAAGGATTTGAATAATGACCACTTTTCCTGGTGGAAAAAGTATTAAAATGTCAGTAGAAACTTTTTCAACCCACTCCTACAGCATAATCCTCGTCTCCACTGACCAAACATATGCTTAGTATGTTTCAAGCAGTTATACTTCATTCAAAATATGGATAACTAGGTTGCTTCAAAGATTCTCTCCTGTTTTTCTTAATGGAGGAGCAACGTATTTGTGTTTCGAATCGAACACCAATCAAACATCTGCCCCTAAGATAACAGAAACAGAAAACTACAAAGCGAGTTGATGATAAATGGCTGTAAAATGTTGATTTAGTCGCCAGCTCTGCAGGGAGGAGTCGTGAAGATAGCACACACATCATGCTATCCTGGACGCTGCAGAGGAAGCAATTATTTTTGAGTTACATCCAGCTGGTTTGGAGCTGTGCAGATGTGAGAGGCCGTGGTCTCCAGAGGACGGCGGTCTGAACCCGGAGCTGTCACAGCTACAGGCCGTATATAGTCACGGCTCTGAAGCAGCAACATCCTGCAGCAGCATCACTACGCTGAAAAATAAAAAATATGTCCCTGGTGCTGTATTTCTGAAGCAGTGGCTGGACATCTTTAGAAATGACTCTTTCCTTGTGTGTTGGCTGATGCACGTGCCAGATGCTCAGCTGCATCACAGCGCACAGGATTTAAAGTGGTATTTATTTGTGGCCTGCACTGATGTTTATTTGTGTCAGCGGCACATCAAGCTGCCCGACGTCGCGTCCGCATAACTGTGGAATGAAAGTACAGTGCCGCTGTGTTGACGTTAGAATTTGTCTGAACAGAAGCTGTGTTTTCAAAATGAGCGTCGCAGCTCGCCAAGAAGTTCCCGACATGATTCCGAGGTGACCGAGAACATCACCTCAGGAAGCTGCTATTTTACAGCTCGGTTTTTGTATCAGGGCAGAGGACATGTTCGGCAATTCTGCTTCATCGTGCAGCTCGTGTATCTGTGTGAGGAACTTTATTTAGAACACAATAACAAGAAGTGAATTTACTGGATTTAGGAAAATTACCAACAGCCAGAGACAATGATTTAGAGATAACTGATGATTATTTTTTATTATTAATGAATCAACATTTTCTCAAATTAATTAAATGTGTAGTTAATCACTTTATTGTCATTGCTGTGTTATTTATTAATTTAAATTATTGTTCAAATTAGACAGATTGCACAAAAGCTACTGGACGGATTACCACAGTATTTGTTGGAAGGATGTGGTATCAGAGAAGAACCCATTAAACTGGTGAATATTCAGGTATTGTTTTAAACATTGAAGTTGAATTCTCAGAGTATTTTCTTGGTGGATTTTATTGAGATATTAGATATTAGATTTTTTTAGGGGCTTGGAATTAGTGAGTTCATTCATTTTAGATCAAAAGGAAAAACCAGATCTAGAGGTTTTAGTGGCGTTTGTTAGTTTGCAGGATTAGGCAAAGTCTCTTTAACCAAATTTTGTGGATGGGATCAATTTATTTTTCACTTTCTGTAAATATGCAAATATCTTGTATGTTTCCATGCGTCAGTGTTTTAGTGTTTGTTATGTTCAGAGGATTGTCTTGTCACAGAGTAGAAGAAAAACTAAACCAAATCAATAACTTGCTCTTTTCTGAGAAAAAGGGTCAATGAGTTTTTTTGATCTGTCACGTGGCTCATGTAGAGTCACCTCTGTGGTGATGCCAAGTTAAACCATGACTCAGCAGCGTGACAGTGAATCATGTTGATAAAACTCCACACGAGGAGCCGAGGATAATCACAGATGATCCATGTGTGGGACTATTTTTTTGAATTACCATGGTAACATGTCTGCTGAGTGATATTGAGTGAGTTAGGATTTAACGATGTGTGTTCCTGGAGTTACAGGAGTGACGCTCACACTCGTACATATGCTGGTTTATTTGGTCAGATTTCTTTTTATGCTTTAAACGGCAGAATCTTTTTTTTTTTTATGTCTCAGTTAATAAAAGAAAGTTTCCACTTTCATTTCCTCCTCTTCCAGCCCGTTGGGGTTGTTATCATGGAATATTTTGGCGTCACAGATAATTGTCTGCTGCGATGTGGCCGCAGCGCTCGCTCGGGATGTACAGCATAAGCCTCTTTTTTTTTTTCCTCGTTACCAAAGGAACGTGGCTCGCTCCGACCGCAGGACTGAGACGACAAGGTCCTCACTCCTCACTCTGGTCAGCCAAGGTCATCTCGGTCAACCATATTTTGACCTACGGCTTGTTCCACAGCAAGGTTCGACCAAAATGTTCCAGTGTGTGGGAAGGACGTTTTGCACAATAAAGCACTAAAGTATGAGACGTATGCAGAGTGCGGCCAGACGGGAGTTTTCAGCAGTTTGATGAGTGTTAAGTTATCATGTACAAATGCTTTCGTGGGTCTGTCTTGTTTCATTGCACATATCATGGTGCACTTTTACACCCTGACCAGTTTGTGCATGAAAATACTGGATCTATAATCCTGTTGTCAAGACATTTCAGCTATAAATATTATAAATATTGCAGAAAACTACAAAAAAGAGGCAAAAGTGACATCCTCTGCCTGGAAATACGAGCCCTTATTAGCCCCAGTGTAAAATATCAATTTCAGTTTCACCGAATTTTTTATGACCCTCCTTTTTTTTCAGTTTCCCCTCTCATGACTTCCACATGAGAGAACAGCTCGAAGATAATTAAGTGGAAAGTACTTTGAAAGGCGGCCTGTCGTCTGATGCCTCCTTCGCTGACGAGACGTGACTACTTGGCTCTGCTCTCGCCAGACGTTGTGATCTTGGGAAATATGAGCAGATTGGAAGGAAAGCGAGTTGCACTGGTCTGCAGGCGTTTAGATCTGGATCATATTCAAGCAGTGTAAGAAAAACCCTGCGACTATAAGGGTTTGGTATCGATGGAGTCTTTTCTGATACCGGTGCTAAATCAATACTTTTGAAACGGGACCAGTGCCAGAACCGAACCATGCATCTCTAGGTGCTAAACTAAAGGTTCAGTGTGTAAAATAATCCTAGTGACTGTGTCTGTGGCCTTTTGCTGAGTGTGTGGACTGAATCTGTGAAGACAAACACCATCTACTATTTATATTTGAATTACCTTTGTGCACACAGACTCATATGAAGGATTTGTTTATCTAAATTCTACGCTTCCTGATATCCTGGAGCTTTACTGAGCCCTCTCTGTTCTGAAGTTGTAAATTGACCGAATGCTTCAATGTGTAACTCTAAGTTCTGAGATAGCACGACCCTGTATAAACATTTACCACCGGTCTTTGAATTCAAGGGCATCAAACACACTAGTTCAATAACCTGGTGAACCACAAGAATCGGAAAAAAAAGAAACATTCCTAAAAAAGTTTTTCCTCTTCCACCGTCAGACGGACTATATTTATTCAAAACTCCTCTATTCTGAACCAGATGGTTTTGGGTGAGCAGGAGGCCTCGGTTCAGATGCGGCCATGTTGTTGACAGGCCTGTTGATTCTGTTTATTCTAACCTCATATCGCCAGCACCACTAATAGCAGCTCTAGTCTCAGCCAGCATCTATATCCAGGCATGCCAGCCAGGCTGCAGCCATTAATCAGCAAGTCAGCTGTCCATACTCTGATTATATGTGAGGTAATGGAGTTACGCTGCCGTCGTCTCACCACACCGAGTGCTGCTGCTGCTTTGTTACGCTTATAGCTCAGGAAACATCAGAGAATCCACTCGTGAAATTCTGTCACTGCTCCTTTACTGTGATGTGTGGAGGCAGAACACTGAGGTATTGATTTAGTGGAACATTAGTCAGCTGTTGGTGGAGGAGATTAAGGCAATTTGATCTGGTTGGAAATGGAGAAAGACGGCATTGTTGAAATGAAATAATGAGATGATGACATTACACCCTCTGTCAAATTGAGGTCGGCAGAGACGATGCACATACGTACTCTGAAGGAATTCCTGAAATGCAAAATTAAACAAACAACGATTTAGTTCTCAACATTTAGATTTTATTTTCATTTACCAGAGTAAATACACAGAGTGATAGATCTCTCCTCTCTCTGCTCTGGGTCCAGTGTCCTCTCCTCTCCTGCAGTGCTCTGTGACTTCCTCTCCAGCACATCAGTTGCCACCTCACTACATCCTCTGTGGCTCGTGCACACCCTCCCTTCCCTCCTGCAGACAGCAGCAGTTGTTAAGTCAAACAGATGTGCTCAGCACTCCTCTGCTTGTCCTCCATTCCCAAGCAGACGCAGCTGATGTGGATGTTATTGTTTAAAGAGGAGCTCCTCCTGGCTGTGTGGTGGGGTCGAGGGCGGAGGGGCTCCATAAATCTTCGCTCTGACGGCGAGTTCCTGGCGCGGTTGTAGGTTGCGGGGCTGACAAAAGAATCCGGGCCCCCGCTTGGTTTCGCTGGTTGTGTCGGTACGGTCTGGTCAGGATGTGGGGGTCTCGCACACGGCAGCAGCAGAGCGCAAGTGAAAGGCCTCATGGGAGGCAGAGATAACATCAACAGTGATGTATAGGTCACTGAGCTCACACTCTCTGTCTGCTGGGTGTGATGAAAGAGAGAGGAGGGGGACGTCTACTGAGAGAGCGTCTGGTCTGATTGAACTCAGTCATCACGGAGGGATAACGTCCGCAGGGCCTGTATGTGCAGCACTTAAAGAAAGTGTAGAAAAGAAGAGTGTGTTATGATGGTGGAGGGGGACGCTGAGCTCAGCAGAGGCCACAGTCCGGCTGTCTGCTGCCCTCGTGTGCTTCGCTCGCTGTACGGACAGACTTCCCTCTGTCAACAGTGATGACAGACAACGTTTCCACTGCTGACGCTGCTGAGGACGAAACTCTGCTGTTGTGTGAACATGGTGGATGAATGAGACGCCGCACATGTGGATTGTTGTATGTTTTAGAGGGAAAACTAATATCTCCGTCAGTGGAGCTCTTTGCTCAGAGTTAGATCTCGTGCCCCAAAGGCAAGAGATGTAATGTCTGGAATAAAATCCCCATCGTAAATCATATTTTGACCTAAAGACCAGACAACGATTATCAGTTTGTTGTAACCACGTATTAGATTTTACTCTCTTATTGTTTTTCCTGTAACTGTGAGAAATGCAGGATTAAGGTGGATATTTTTAGGAGGATTTAGAAAAATGAAGGAAACAGACTGAAAGAGTCAGATATTTTACCTTTTGTGTCTTTTGGCCTAATTTACTTCCTTCAGTTCCTTCATGGATTTTGAGTTTCTGTACTTTGCGTTCTGTATCTTGTCTGTTTGAAAACCTCGACAGAATGACGTGTGAAAATCCCAGACTGGTAGTTTCAGAAATACTCAGTCATCATATCAGAGTCTCTGAGATCATCCTGATGTTTGAAGTAAACATCGACTGAATCTTCCGAACCTTCACCTGCAGGATGTTCCTCTCTGCACTGCTGCCACACGATTGGCTGATTGGTGCAGGCGTTCCTAATAAGGAGCTCAGTGAATGTAAAATAAAATGCCATCCGTTTGCAACTGAGCACTTAAAAGCGTTTTGGAGTAGAATTTAAATTAGACAGACACTTGGTAGCGTGCACACTACGTCTATGAGTAATCCCACATCCCTCTGCAACGTTTTGTGAAAATCCACTCCGATGTTTTTGTGTAATCACGCTCACAATCAAACAAAACAAACATACGACCAACTCGCAATTGGGAATCGCCTGTCACTTTCTGCTCCATAGTGTTTGCCCCCTCTGTGTGAGAGCTGTAAGTGGCCCTGACCGGCGTTAGTGTGTTTAGTTTAGTGTGTGTGACTGAGCCGTGTGGACAGCATGAAGTATGGCAGCAGTGGAGGGGAGTTGGCTGACCGTCCCACTGAGTCCAGCGCTCGATGTTTGGGTTGGCATCCCATCCAAGAGCCCTCCAGTCCAAACACTGGAGGGCCGTTCACAGCCCATTAGCTCTGTGAGTGACGGGGCAGCCCACCACTCGGAGGGCTGCACATGAAGGACGCGGCTTGTTAGTGCCAGGACTTTGTCGCTGAGGGTGATGATTGAGGCGGCTGATTGATGTAACTCTAAAACCTTTTCATGAGAGTGGTGCAAGAGCTGATTTGGATCTCCGTCTACACACGCTGCTTATTTTCCTTTTTGTCCAGTCATACGTTCTTTCTACAGCAGCGTTATTCAAAGTGCAGTTTGATAATTATTGGCACTTTCTACACGCAGGCTCATAATGGAGCTGAATTTACGAGGCTCAACAGGACTTTGGTTCCAGCGTTTATGTGACTTGTGCAAGCGCCGCTCCTGACGGGGAGGAGGTGGACGTAAACCTGTTAAAGTCCGACTCTGACTGATTATGACATATAGGCCCTGATTATGTGTCATGATATAATTCAACAACTCAATTTGAAAAATGTTAGGCTATGACATCACCATGCTGCCTCTCCTTCTCTGTAATACACAGAATGCTGGGGCAGTAACTTGGTTTAATACTTGGTTCTGTGTTTCACTGGAAGAAAATAACATCAGGAAACCGCAGCAAAATGTTTATTTGTTTAGTTTTTAAGGCGTCAGTTGAACTAAAGTACCAAAAAAAAAAGAAAATGAATTGATTTTTCTGGCGATGCATTTTTGAGATTACTATATGAGCCTGGTATGTTTTTGTATTAATATCCATAAATCATGATATGGGAAATTGGTGGAAATGTCAAAACACTTAATTTTGCCATGTGAAAGAAAGAGAGACAGAAAATATTCCTGGATTGTCCCTTGTGGCCTCATCCATCCACCAAGTTTTGTAAAAATCCGTTCAAAAGCAGTTTTTGCTTAATTGGCGGAAGTCATTAGAAACAAAACTATCTGATGTCCTCCAAGATATATCTGAGAAGTTATTTAAGGATTTGAGCGTGTGACTAATGCTGTCATTTTGAAGATAAGATAACTGGGGACACTAGTAAAGTAACAATACGTAGCATGCAATACTTATAAATGAGGACACAAATAAATAAATGGAATGAAAACGAATATATACAGTTATAAACAGAATATTTACCATGTGAACATACGTATATTGAACACATGAGCCATCGAGTTTCACAGACAGAAATTCACATCTCCCAGTTAAAAAGTTAAAGTGCAATAGAAGGTGTTTGTGGCCTCGTGGGATCACAGCTGATTGTCGAACAGCTGCAGGAAGAAGCAGCCTCTCCCTCAGACACGTCGGGTGCATCGCTCTGTCGCTGACGGAGCCGCTCGGTGCTGTGACGCTGAGACGTCAGTCCTGTACTAAGTGTCCTAACTGTCCGTCAGCTCCTTGTTATTCCGGAGAAACCATGAGTGGAGGCTCGCTGGAGGCCAGATGGATGTGCCGTGCTCAGCGTTTCTCCGCTCTTGCTGGGAACGTGGAGACTCAGTGGCATTGGTTCTCACCATTAACGGGGCTTCCCTCCTGAATAGGCCCTGCCAAACTATGCAGTGTCCCGCCGAGTTTGAGATGAGGACATGGGCTTGCAGTGAAGCCTAGCAGTTCCTACTTCCTATCAGTGACAACCAGCATCAATCTTCACCGCCCTTAGTCCTGGACCCTGCCAAGCTCCACTCCAGTGAGGAGAAAAAAACGAAAGGACTCAGGCAGTTGGAATCAAACAAAGGCTGGATTATCCTGAACATGTTTCCTTGCAGGGCAGTTCATCTCTGAATCCCCCATGGTGCAAAGCGGGAGGAGCGTCATAGTTTGAGTTCTTGACCTCTCCTCTCTCGTGTCCTTGTGTCCTCTCCTAACTGACTGTCAGTTGTGTTGAGAGGGCAAATAAAGTTTGAAATAAAATCCTGTTGCTTCTATTTCGACTCCATCCAAAATACACCGTTTAACACTGTGTGTGACACACGTCCAAAAACATCCCTGTGACATTCACTCTCTCACACCTGCTGAAATCCAGCAATAACCCTGTTAAATAAGTGAGGTGTGCTGCGGTAGTGTTCGCTGCTCAGCTCCTCGGGGGTTGTGAAGGAATTCCACCTCAGTGTCACCGATTGGGAAACATCTGGACAGATTGCGGCGCTCCTCCGCTCTCGCAGCGCTCACCTTCGCTTCTCAGCTGTGTGTTTGTTCAGGTGCGGCCGACCTTCGACCCACTGGGTTTTTGCGACTGCCGGCCTCGATGCTATTGCACGAGTTTATTAAACATCGAGAGAGGACGAGTTTGAGATGTGGTTTTTCAATGATTTCTCAAAAAAGAAGGGAGCAGTGTATCTGCAAGGCTTGATGAGATGGGTCGAGTTCAGACAGAAACTTTAAATCCATCACCTGCGTTGGACTTTTCTCTTAATGTCACTCTAACATTAAAGATGTCACAGCTTCGGTTCTGATAATAGTTGATTTAGTTGATAGTAGATTATGTGGGATAATAGGTTTAAAGAAGTTTTTGATGATATATATTTGAAGATCTAAGCAGGAGACGCATGTTTAGCTTAGCACAAAACTGAAAGGAAACAGCTAAAGTTCACTGGTAGAACATGTTAGCTTCTATTTTGCTTCTTGAATAACACAATCTTCATCTTTTTTTTTAATCTTGCTTTTTAAATTCAAGTTTAATTGTTGTATAATTGATCTCTTCATGACAAATCCCATCACACATCAATGTGAAACTTCAACTTCATCTTATAACTTGTGCTGCTTTCATTACAAAGAACACAACACTCCTGGCGTTTGTGGTCCTGTGATATTCGAAGGATACAGTTGGTTCTTGTACGACTGCAGAAGCCAAAGCGGACGGGAGGTGCCAAAAAGCACAGACCAGACGGGGTGGTCCGGAAACGGCCCGCAGATCCAGTGAAACTTAACAAGCATGTTCCCTTTGGATGTTAAAATGAAGTGTAACACAGATATTAATGTAGCAAGTATCACAACACAGCGGAGGAATGTAAACTGGAGCTCTGGGACACCGGACTGGACGTTAACCAGCTGCACCCGAATACCCGCCGTCATAATAGCCTGACACCCTCCCCCCACCCCACCCCCCCTGTGGCCAGCTAAACTCAAGCCTCGGGTTTTCATGACGGCCGGCGGCCAGGAGCAGCAGCAAAATGGCTCCTTCTGGGGCGTGAAGGTGTCCAGTTACTTATCTTGGGGAGAAGCGAGGTTGATTGTTGAGATAAATCACCGGTGGTGGTGATGTAAAAGCAGCCGAATGTGTGTGAGTGGTTGAGGCCTGCGCTGAGTTTCTCCGTGCACGGTTACACGTCTGCTGGTGGCTCTGCAACAGTCTTGAGAACGTGGATGAAGCGATAACCTCCCATTAGATCAGGACTCTTGGACTCATGTTTTATGCTGATGTGTTTTTCTGCAGAGGTGGCCATCCTGTGGGCTGCTCACCAGGTTCACCACAGTTCAGAGCACTACAACCTCACCACCGCCCTCAGACAGTCCCTCACACAGCAGCTTGCATCATGGGTAACGCCTCATTTGTTCCGTTCAAGTTTTTTTTTTCTTATTGTCAGGAAATAGCATTTATTAATGGGAAACAAATTTATCCAACAAGTACGTTTCTAAAGCCTTTATTTTTTATTCCCCGGTGCCAAAACTATAAAACACGCACTGTTTCCTTGATTAAAAATATATATGGGAACTTATTTTGAAACAGTCCCAAATATGTTCCTTCATTTACGACTAAAAAATAGTCTCCAGCAAATGGACTATTTAGTTAATGAAACGATTGAGCCTCATTAAGAAATAAAACTAAATTTTATTAATATTCACATCTTCAGTTGAGAGGAAATGACTCACAATGTTTGTATCAGTTCTAATGCTTGACGTGAATGTGTAGGAAAGTTTTGAACATATTCAAATTCTAAACAACTTTATTCGTCCCCAGAGGGCAATTCTAAAAAAGTCTTTCAAGTATTTCAAGAATAAGGTTGTAATAATATATATATATAATATATTCTCAAAGTCACCGTGATCTTTTTGAAGTGGCTCTAATACTCTTTCGTAGTATATCAAAGTAAACACTGGGCTGGAAACTTCTGCTGCTGTGAAGACGTCTTATATCTGTAGGGTGTGAATTGAATTAATGAACCCCCCCACCTCTCTTCAGATCTTCTACATGCCCATGGCTCTGGCTGTTCCTCCGTCAATGTTTGCTGTTCACATACAGTTAAACCTGCTCTACCAGTTCTGGATCCACACAGAGGTAAACATTCACGTACTCTTTAATGTCTTTAATGTGTGTTTGGGAATTTATTTGAGGCTCCGACAGCAACCACCTGTCCTCTTGTAATGTATTTTACCTCCCAGTGGCTCTGGATTGTTGCATTCATCATCCCATAATTGTTTTAAATAAAAATGAATGAGTTGATAGAATCATAGTAGATATTTAATCCTTTTTATCTTTTATTGTTAATCATAGTTCTATGAAATCAAGATTTGGGACACGTGGATTTGTGAAAATAGGATGCTAATTAAAAAAACTTCCTATAAAAACACATGTACCTTGATAAACGGGAGTTATATTGAATAATGATGCACAACACACACGTTACTAAAGGGTGTAGGTAAAAGAAATATGAAGGAAAATAAAGAAAAATTAACATTTTGAGACATGAAATAAATGATTAATAACAATCAATCCTGAATTATACTCAGGGCCTTTAAAACCATGTTTGTCAGTGTGGAGAACATGAATACGTTTAAAATATCAATCAGCGTCCAGCTCCAGTACTGTGGGAGTTTGTCTGGCCGGAGAGAAAAGTCTGTAAAGTTATCTTTCCCCCCCGTGCCAATACTAATCCGTCTTCTGCGTCGGGACTTTGTAGAGTCAGTGTTGCAGTGGAACCTGTATTCAATAAAAAATAATGAGATTTTATGAAATATTCCAAACAGAAGCATGACCGCTCTGTCTGCCTTTAAAGTGACTGGGAGTATCACTTTTACAATCCCAGAGATCGTTAGAGGGAATGAATGGATTTGGAACGCCCTCCATCTTTTAGTGCACTATTAGTGAAAACAGTCATAATAGTCACGATTTTCTGAGGGGATGTAATTTATGCCTCCTTTATGGGCTTTTTTTTTTTTTTTTTTTTTTTTTTTGATGTCATGTAATTTATTGGCGCACTATTCTCTGCAGCCATAGTGAAGTGGTGGAGACCCCTTTTCATTCGATATAAAACTCTCAAGCTCGACTGCCAGACGCAGCCATTACATGGAAATAATGAATCACAGAGAAACGCTGTGCAGCCGCGCACGTTTCTCCAGATTAAGGGGGTCGGCCGTATCGATGGGAAACATCAAAATATCTCCGACACGACCAAAAGAGAAACTTGAAGTGTGTGAAATATGCTCAGCGTGACCTCTGCGATCTTTGATGCTGCATCTGGTGGATGTCTAAGAGAAGTCAAGGTTTCATGTGAGGTTTATATGCAGAATGTTCTCATGTTGTTTGTATTAGACGACATGTGCGTGTTTTCTCTGTGTGTGTTTATAGGTTTAATCGTTAATAACAGTGTTAACATGTCCCTGAACGTCTCATCATTCCCGTTTAATGTTGAGATGAAATAAATAACTGTTGCTCTTTTTTTTTTAAATGATCAGTAAAATAAATAAGATAAAGAATTTTCGCGAATGCTTTAAAATGATATAAACAGCTCGCCACAGTTATTCCTATACTTAAGCTACAACCTTGAAATGTGCAGAACGTTGCTATTCATGCACATCAGAGGTTAAATTAAACCTGATCGATCTCTCACTGATCACTGCCCTGACATTTACTGCAGATGTTCATGCTCCCCAGCGGAAGAACCTTTTCTATTATGGGTGTGACAAAGGTGCAGTGCAGTTTTCTGACAGTTGTTTATTATTTGCACTTTGATTGTCAATTCGATTATTCAGACGAGTTGTGTGTTGTATTGTTTTACAGCAACTATGTGTTGACAGTTTGTTTTGTTCTGTTGTTGTGTCTGGGGTCAGGTCAGCAGGTCAGGTCTCTAAGAAGAATATTATTACTTTAAGTTTTAATGTGTATTTTACGTCCTTCAGGTCATCAGAGACCTCGGACCTTTGGAGTGGGTCTTCAACACCCCGAAACACCACAGAGTTCATCACGGTGAGATAAGTTTGTGTTTCATGAATGAAAGTGACAACCTAATCCTCTTATGTTGTTATGTTTCTACTGCCAGGATTTCTAAGACTAAGCTTTTATGTTTCACCAAGACCATGAGGAGCCCGAGAGCTCGATGTCTGGCCACGGTGGAACTTGGTTATTTGTGGTCGTGTTTAATTTGGTCCAGTCGGTATCTTTGCTGGCAGGTTGACCACTTGGTCGTGGGAAAACATGAGATATTGGAATGAACGGGAGCATTTGGGTCCAAGGATTTCTGTGGTTTTTTTTAGAAGTCAAATAACGTCTGTGGCAACTTCACTGACGTTTCTCTCAACAGGGAGGAACCTTTATTGTATTGACAAGAACTACGGAGGAATTCTGATCATATGGGACAGATTGTTCGGTAAGAATCTCTAATTTGCTTCTTTCTCTTGTTGTTGCTTTTTCAAATCAATTACTGGAAGTTAAAATAACTTTTGAGGATATTAACATGTTAGGTAGTTATATTAATTTAATTTAATTATTACTTGCACCGGACAGTAGGATTCAATTAACACCGAGAAGGTTGACATCACAGTTCCCATAAAATGAGCCAAAACATTCCTATCGCCCCCTGGTGGCTGGCTGGAGTAGTTGTCATTAACTCTGCTTCCTCCATGTGAGCAAATTGGACTTAAAAAGTCAAAGTACACGTCAAATGAAATCCCTCATTTGAAGTTGTTCTAATCACACCGGTGGACGCGTCTGACAAGTTTGTCATGATTGACAGTTGAGACTGAATCGTGATTGGTCGAGTGCTCCATCTCGTACGCGGATCACGATCTCTACTGCTCAGTCTTTGGCTCCAAACGACGTCAAACTCTCAAGATTGCTTCGCTCGTATTGGATCATTGTTCACAGTCTGTGCTGTTTACTGTCTCACGCTGTCAAAGACGTCAGGAGAAAGCCGTCAAAGTGAAAGTCCTGCCGAGGATTAAGTGTTACAGCAGAGCCAAGCTTCAGATTTATGACTTACCAGTTATATATTTAAAGTTTTGCTCTGTAAAATTTAGATTTGCTTTTATTTGTTTGTCATGGTAATTAATTACTGTCACATTAAATTTAGCACATAAAGTGTTGAGTGCATAAGATTTAAGGCTACGAGAAGTTATGGGTTCATATAGAACCTGCGCTGGTGGAGGGCTGCCCTCTCATTACTTGCTATTTAATGGAAACCAAAAGTTGTGGTATCACCATTTATTACATCAACATGAAGGGAAACAGTGACTCTGTAAACTGCAGGTTTGCCTGTAGCTTTACTCGACTCAGCAATTTTGCATCAAACGTCAGTGAGAGGTAACAGATAAAATTTTGAGGTTTAGACATTTATTCTAGTTCATTGAATTCAAACAGTTTTAAGAGTTTCATCCTGCGATCTCAAGTTTTAGATTGTATTCATAAGTTTGAAGTTTTGTCTGCCCTCACAGAAGTTTGGTAAATCTCCATTAAGATCTAATGTGCCTGTTAAAACATATGAGCATCTTTTTGTAAAAACCACAAATAAGAGACATTAAATAAAAACAGCTTGAGAGCTTCAACCTTTGGCTTTTATTGAAAACCTCTGAATTTGCTCTGCAGTTCATCAGGATTGGAAAAAAAATAATTTAAACAAAAATAAGGACAGTGAGTAAATAACTTGATGTGTACACTGAACAATTATAGATACACAGTAGGTATGTAGTTATACTGTTATACCACAGATACTGGCTCAGTTCCCCATTTTCTCAGGAACAGGTGGAGACCAAAGCTGAGTTAAAGAAGAATGAAAATGTGGACTTAGATTTGAGCGATGGTCTGAAACATGACTCCGAGTGTCCATGTCCGCTGGTTCTGTGAATCACAGTCCTGCATGGATCCATTTAATCTGTGGTTGTGTTCTCCAGGTACTTTTGCTGCGGAGTCGGATAAAGTGGTGTTTGGCCTGGTGTTCCCGATCAAAACATTTGAAATCCTCTATGTTCAGGTAAGACCCACTGTCTGTGGTTAGCGTGGGGACATAAGTGGGCCATCGGCCGGCCATCCGAGTATAAACACTTCCAGTAGATGAGACGTGAGCTCATGTTTCCTTTGTTGGCTGAGTGGCCGTGTTGTAACCATAACATTATTACTCCACTCCAAACACACTGCCCAGCTGAGGTGAAGGAGGCCAATAAAACCAAAAGGCGAGGAGGTGGATGTTGTGATTATTTTTGCTGCCCTCGCTGTTGGCAGAGCGCAGCGTGAGCCACGTCCTGTCCAATGAAAGCAGAAACATTTCTACTCCGGATTGATTATCACAGTTATGGCTTCATTAACGCTGATGTAGCACTTGATTTTGTATTGACGTTCGACTTTCTTTTTCTCTCCTGTAGTTGCACTACTATTCCTATTTGTGGAACAAGTCCAAAACCTACAAAACCATCAGCGACAAACTGTCAACTTTCATCAAAGGTCCGAGCTGGAAACCTGGTAAATCTCGTCTGGGAGACTACGTCGACAATCCCCAGGTCTGTAAAACAACCTCATGTTTCCGTGATCGCTCCTGAAGGTGGCATATTTTCATAATAAAGTCGTCAGGCGTCATTACCCGTCACGTGATGCACTGAAAGCACAGGACTAAATGACGCAGAGCATTCCTCATTGAAGGATTCACATATTCTACACGTTTTACAAGGAACTGCCACATCAAATAAAAAGCTGTAAAGCCTTTGTAGAGGGAACACAAAAAGTTCATTTTCACCATCTTTTAAATGCAGTCTGCGGGATTAAAACCGCATGCTGTGTGTGTCTGTGTGTGTCTGTGTGTGTTGTGTGTGTTTTGTGTGTGTGTGTGTGTGCAGAGAGAAATACAGGCTCCAGTTGAACTCTCCGTGGTTAGCTTTGAAATAACGCTGATGGTGTCACATATTTCGCTTCCTCATGCTTCACACTTGGAAAAAAAAAAAGAAAAGCTAACTCTAACCCTTTGCCTTTGTGATTAAATTGGCCCCTTAAACCCAGCGGGGTGATTCTAAACATGGCCAGAGCTGGAATTGAACTGAAATATCTTGAAAGGGCTTCGCTTAGACGTCTGCTCATTGATATCTGCCGGTGAGGGAGAGAGAGAGAGAGAGAGAGAGAGAGAGAGCAAAGAGTGGGGAGTAAAAGGAGGAGAGAGGGTTGAACGTGTTTCAGCTCTTTGAGATTAAGCAGAGCAGCAGGCTGGAATACCTACAGGGTTGGGGATGGGATGCGGGGGGAACCCACATGTGGTGGTTTGGATCCTCTGAATCCTGGGAAACCCCCAGACTGAGACTCAGGAATCTGTGATTGGCCTGTTCTCTTTTTATTTTTTTCATGTACTTCATTCCCCAAAGAGCACGGCAGTTTCGGCATGAAGCCCTCAGGCCTAATCAGTTATCGTTTGGACGCAAACGCAGACACATAGAGGACAAATGACTCAGGGAGCTCGTACAGAAAGACTCATATGTTCCTCAGTGTTTGAGGGGAAACCGCTACACACAATAAATCCTGGACGACTTTGTAGATGGAACACAACAAGATAATTTGCACCAGGATTTTAGAAGTGGGAAAAGGTCGTAAGACAAATTTAAGGCTGTTTTGGCTTCAACATTTGGCCGACAAAGTTTCTGTCCATGATTTTTATTAGTTTAGATTTTCCTTTTTAAAGGTCCAGACATTCACACTGACTCAGTGTTGTTTTCAAGTGGTTTTGTGTTTTTTTCCCCTTATCTGCCTCCTAGTTAAAGATCTAATATGTAACAGCTCTTCATTAAAATCGCTGTGTCATATATCTGGTTGACGTTTTGTATTTACATTATTCAAAATGTTCAAACCCAGAGAAATCCACAATTTTATTCAAGGTAACAGTAGATTTTCATTGTCAATGTAGGTGAAGACAACAACTCCCATGATCCCACGCTGCTTCACAGCGTCGTCAAACTAGGTCTTTTGTTATTGTTTTGATTATTAGTTTAATTCTGGTGTCACACACGAAACCATTCACTGTAAATAAAGATGGATGACATGATGCCTCCCTGAAATTAAAGCCAAAGCACCTTGGTTTTACAGTCCATCCACAGAACAAGTTCTTCTTCTCACTGCACTGTTTTGTAAAATGTTTCTTTAAACGTGAAGTTTCATTCCACATCATCCGCAGTGAGAATCTGACCAGAAAATGTGGGATTTGAGAACTTGTTTTATTTTCCTTGTGCAGGTAACCGGAAAGGAAGTGGCTTACAATCCCAGCTGGTCGCTGCTTTTACAAGTTTATGTGGTCTTACATTTCCTGCTCGTGCTGCGGAGTTACCATGATTTGTTTGAAAACAAGACGGTAAGTATAATAAATATGAAAATGTGATCATGCTGACTTCTCTAATTTCTAAAATCTGCTTACACGCTGCCTAGATGTTTAGGCTACTGTAATCTCTCATGTAAAGTATGACAAGGTGGTCCGGGGCTCTTAATTTAAGGCTGAGTGCTGCGTGTTTGTTTGCCAACATTATTTCACCCAATTATGCAGTTTGTTGTGGCTGCTCCACGGTCGGACAGAGTCCTTTACTTAGCCAGCAGGAAAAGACTAGTTCTGTCTAACATCATGACAGAATGACTGATCGGCATTCCCCATTAGAACAACCTTTGTCTATTATTTTCCACTCGACGAGCCAAAGGACCCCCTTCCTCCTCCTCCGGACAAAAAAAAGAGAGAAGCAGGTCTCCTCAGCAGTTATCTTTGGAAGGCGTTGTTCCCTAGGCATAGTTTTGGTTAGCCAAAAAGTGCCGTCCCGCCCAGCCCCTTCAAACTCCCAAATAAAACGGCCTGTCTTTTTGTGATCACTACCTTCATGGTGCTCCTTCAGTTGTGGTCCCCTCACACACACATTCACACGCAAACACACGCACCTCCCTTCCAGGGTCGAGGGTCCCCTCCCTCTTGGCGAATGAAACACCAGCTGGTGGTCCAGCAGTGAACACAAACGCCTTAATTGTCGAGTCAACCATTTCCCAACCCAAATAGCCTTCAGGATGCAGCAATCAGGACTTGGAGGGAAAATAACAAAGTGAGCTCTCCGGCCAAACAATAAATCATGTGGCCGTTGTATATTTATACCCACATGTTTGCTAGCCACTTATTTAGCTTGACAATTGATGATACACTGCCTGGACAATTTATGGGCTTTGCGTTAATTCATGAAAACATGGTTATTTCAAACAAGTGAGGCTACTCTTCAATTACATCATCAGCCAGCCAACATGTACGTTTTATTATAGGTTTCCTCAACAGTTGCTATTAGAGGCAGAGAGGGGAATCGACCAAGCGAAGACTGCTCCTCTCAGAACGTAAATGTTTTCATGTAGAAGGACTTGAAGAGCGATCAGATGCAATTTAAAGGTGCAAAGAGTGACAAATAACAGCATTTTAACAACACCTGTACTCCTCGTTCCAATATTAACATAATAACAGAGATCAGGTTTGACAAGAATGTAGAAAACTTTAAATGTGTGCACGTTTAAAAAACGTAAAAACAGTGGGGGGCGGTCTTCGAAATCTGGTCGGCCGAGGATTTCCTCACCAGCTTGTCCCGTCCGAGCGCTGTTGGACACGCCCTCAGTGCCTCTTGTTTTATTTAACATGTTTATAGCTGCTCAGTTTAGTTGACATGTGTCTGAAAAACGTTTTGTCACTAAAGCACAATGAATCCTCGGATAGTTTGACCTACGAAGGAACCACTTGTTGGAGCTTTTGTTTCTCACAGATGAAAGGGAGCCTTCGAGATGAAAGGACGCGTCCCCTTAATCGGGGCCTGGTTTAAAAGCCGATTATTAAATTATGTTAATTGGTTTAGAAGTGATGACAACTCGGAAACTCAGCTACCAACATTTTCAAGGTTGTTTTGAATTAAATGTTTCCAATTATTCCCAATTTTTTAATCTCCAATCAAAGTTTGGAGACAAATAGTGAATAATCAAAAGTATCTGTGTGATTAACACGTCATGAACTTCAACGTCTGCAGCAACAACCTGAGTAATGAGTTAATCTGCTTCGTCTCAGGGGACAAATAGAGCAACACAATCAGAGCGCTGCCACCAGATGTTCACTTTCATTGGCGTCGCTGCAGCTCGACACTCGATCACATTAAAAATTAACACGGTTACAAAAAGCACAAATCACATCCCTCCACTTCGTCCTGTAAATGTGACCACACTGACGGATCTGAGGAGGATTTTCTCTGGGGCGAAGTGACCCAATCCCGTGGACCCCAGGGTGATTAATTGTGTTAAAGCTCAAAATAAATAAGGATTATGGGACCGAGCCTGTGTGTTCTGCTGAGCCCCTGCAGTTATTAAACACAGATAAGTTCACATAACCTTTGATACCAAAATAATTCTCTGCTTATTACACCTCGCACTAAAAATAACTGTATCCGTAGCCTTTAAACTCTGATGGAATGATGGCTCAGCTTTAACAAACTTTGACAGTCTGGAGCGTCTCTTTTTCCGTCAGCCAGATAAATGGATCTAGCCCAAAATTCCCCCCCGTTTGATTCACGGAAAACATAATCATATCATCTTTCCCCTGTGAGGGCTCAGATAATACGGCTCTTATGGGGCTTATGGATTACGACTCTTGGATAAACACTTAAAAAAACATTGTTCTATTGCATCCTGTTGATGGGTTGATTTTCTGTTTACTATATAAGGCCTTCTGGGTCCACGCCGTATGGGAGCTGCCAGTGAGATTTGGCTGTTAGGTTCTGTATTGAGTGTCGGAGAAATACAAACCTAAGCTGACAGCCCACGGCATCCTCAAGAGACACGGGGATTCCAGCTGCTGCCCTCAGCCAAGGCCGTAGGTTAGAGAACACCAATTAGACCGTACATCACGTTCTGTACTTTGTGTGTTTGTGCGCGTCTGTTTGTGTGCGCGCATCCCACAGAGCTCGGAAAAAGGTCGGTGAGAATCTGCATGGGATTTCTGCTCCAACGCTGGTTGTTTTGGCTCCGTTTTGAAGCTATCGGGATTCAAACTGCTGTCTCCTACACTGTGGTCAAGTCCCCCCCCCCCCACTCCGTCGAGGCCCATCTGGAATGATTAGAGCGTCTTTGTAAACTAGGCGGCGTAAAGTAAGAGGCGGTGTGCATTTTGATGCAGGATCCTGTATGTGCCAGTACACTTACTCTGAAGGTCAGACGTGTTTGTGTTGGCAGCGTCAGGTAAACAGTCAAACAGCGGTTTACGACCGCTCTCCCAGTCAGGTCTCCTGTGAGCGAAACCCAACCAGCCATGATATTGATTTAAGGTTTAAATTCTAATGTGTTTTTTCCCCGACCACATTTCTCATGGCATCCGTGTGCACCTCGATTCTAGATGCTGTCCCAGTTGACCATTCTGGGGATGACCAGCTACATCCTGCTCACTCTCACCGCCCTGGGCTTCCTCATGGACCAGAGGTACAGTGCCGTCATCTCTTCATGGGTTCACTTCTATAGAAGCATGTTCCACATTTCAGTGGAAACTGTTGAGAAAGGAAGAGTCTGGATTTGGAATTAAGAGTAAAAACTATTCTGGAGGTTTCAAGGTGACTATAAAGATACAGATCGAGAAAAACATGCCTCTGCTAATAGTGATCGAGAAATGATTCAGTTAACGGAAAATTAGAGCTTTGACTCCGGATTGATTTTTGAATTAAATTGATTTTAAGTGTGGCTGTCATGTGAGTTCGGATTCAAAATCCTGTTTGACTTTGACTTTGATCTGTTTGAATTCAAACCTCTGCATGCGTATGCGTCAGCGTTTGTTTGATCTATATTGTGTTTGTTAAGTTTAGTGGCCAGTTGACGAGGAAAGCAGATTAAACCACCGGAGCATCAACAGCTCTGCTCAAGTCTCAAACTGAACACGCTAAACATTGAAGAACCTCACAGTTTATTGATTATTTATAGGAAAGAGTTGATGTGTTACCTCATGATTACATGATGAGGACAAGCTCCATGGGTTGTGTTAGATTTAAATCAAACTAATTAATGTTAGTTCTCATTAGTTGAAAACATGTTGAAGCATCAGCCCCGATTTTGATTCAGAATAGATTTTGACAACTATAGAAACTTTATTAGATATTTTATTTCTTGTCAGTTGATAGATTATGATTTGCAGCCCATTTTTTTTAAAATGGTTGAACCACTCAGGAAGTCCAAGTCCAGACATGGATCTTTGACGCAGGCAGATTCATCACATTATATAATGTTAATATTAGTATTATTACATTATTTGCGAAGCATTAGATTCATTTAATATCAAATTATATCAGCAGACAGGTGGAAAATCCATAAGAACGGAGTCTGGTTACTGTGACGGGACTATCGTAAAATCAGGTTTAAAAAAAACCACACAGCTGGAATTACAACAGCTGTTTGACTGAACTCTTTCAGTGACTTTTCTTATTTTCCTTCATCATTTGAGTTCCCAGATTGGATTGAATGTTGGCGTTAATGAGCTGGAATCTGTCAGGTTAGCAGACGCCTCCTCTTCGTCTACAAACTGAGCTGAGCTGATGAAACCCGGCAGTAAAAACTCAAAACTCAGGGACAAACTAAACATCTAATAAGTGATTTAATCACCTCGACATACCTTTTGTTTTGCATCATCGATGTCGACCTACTGATTAATAGCCCGGGAATCTTCTCAGGGGTGTAGGAAGTCAGAGGTGATGGTCAGCAAAGGTCAGGATGTCGGATCTGAAATGTCACCAAGCCTCCGTGTTGTGTCTCATTGATGTGTCCTCACGCTCAGGCCAAGGGCTGCTGTCTTGGAGATGCTACGCTGTGTCGTCATGGTGACAATGCAGAGGTATGGATATGTGGCGCCCCTGCTGCCGTCAATGGCTGTGACCACAGAGGTAAGTCAACCTGCAGTGTGTGTTAAAGAGTGTTTCAGTGTTGTTGAACTAAAAAAAAATCTTGCAGAACTTTTTCACATATGCAGTAGTTTATCCTCAAGACCGGTAAACAGACTTTAATATATTAAACCTATGGACTTCTCCTCCTCTCGTCCAATTGGCTCCAGCTCCCCCCACAACCCTCAAATGATAAATGGTATAGTTTTGAAATATTCCTGATGGGCTCATAATGTCCAGACACAAATGTGATGTTTGTTGACCCACAGTTGAAATGGACGTAACTCGTGGTCACGAGACGTCTTCAGACCCATAATAATCCCAGCACATCATCATCATCGCTCATCATCAGTTTGCTCGAATGTCATAAAATTGTACATGTTCAAATTTCTGTTTTTCTCTGTCCGACCACTTCCTGTCTCTTGTGGCTGAACAGTTGAGGTTCAGAGGTCAGAAAAAAAACAGTCTCACCTCAGGGTCCGTTTACGTCGCTGAGCTGGAGCCTGTGATCGTCTTACACAATCTTCCAAAACAATTCCCAAAACTGTTTAATAGTTCCTGCTTAATGACATAATGTGGAAATTGCTCGTTCATTTGGTTTTACACTGAAGTTTGGCCTCTTGCCTGCCGCTCTCCATTAGCGTCCTGTTCATCATGGAAGAGGAAAAACTGTTTGTGTCCAGAGAACTCTACAATATGTTGTTCTAACCTCAGGCTGCGTATTAAGGTGGACGACATGGACGCTCCTAGAAAGTGTCTTGATCGCCCCTCCTGGCTGGCTGCAGTATTGGTCACATACCCCGCCTCCTCCATGTTAGCGGATGGAACATGGACAAAACAAAAAAGTGAAAATGCACGCACTGAACCCTGCAGTTGCTCCGTATTTTCTCCAGAGGAGGCGCACACGTGAATGCAAATGTCCAAGTCAGACGCTCCGCATTCAGAGTTAATACGTCACTTCCTGTCTCTGTCTGCTGCGCCCGGCTGTTCCACCTCTCACCTGAATAACAAAGAGGATTTGTTGCTGGTGTGAAAGACAAACTCCCAGAGGTCATGTCGAGTGTGTGTATCAGCTGGACTTGCGTTTGTCTCAGGGTTATTTTTTCTTCAGTTCTTGATAGTGGGAGGAAAATCTTTATATACTGTATATATATATTCCAAGACCTTGTTAGCCTGCGAGTTGTTTATGTAGAGTGTGTGTGTGTGTGTGTGTGTGTGTGTGTGTGTGAAACATACTGAAAAAAATAGTCTAACATCTTGTTTACGGTGCAAAGTTGGAAATCAAAGAGAATAAATGCAGAAAAACTTTCGTGAAAACAACGATGTGTGATAACGAGACGACATCATCCCTTCTGTGTGTGTTTCAGCCTCTTGCTTGTGATTGTGTGTGTTGTGTGGTCTGTTTTGAGTGTGTGTGTGTGTGTGTGTAATATGTGCAAGCTGGGTGTTAAGTCCAGCCCTGCAGCCCTGTGATCTACGAGTCCAGATGCGTTGCCCAATTGACCATAAAATTGGCGTTCCTTTCTGACTCTGGCAGCCCGACTGTAGATGGCGGCTGACCTCTCATTACGTTCACTACCTCAGCCCCCCCACCACCTCTCCGCCTGCCGTCGCTGCTCGCCATCTCAGCCGGTGTGAACGAGAGGAACACCTCTGGAACCAATTAGTGTGGTCTGCTGCTAACTGCCGCTGGCTGATGAGATTTGCACGTGAGCCCTGAATCGCTGCTTTTATTGTTCTGACTCCACATCTGCTTTGCTCAGGTGCTCAAAAGACAATTGGAGGGTTTCCCTCCTTTTTCTTTTTCTCACCGTAAAAAATGAAATAAAACTGAATGAATTATAATTTTTTTAAAGCCCTGTCTCAAGTGAAGTGCACGTCCAGTCGGCTTCGCAGCCAGAGAAAGATCTTGATTTATGCTGCACATGCTGCGCGGCCGTGTCACTTTGACAGCACTGCAGGTTTTATGCAGCCGTTTCCTTAAGCGGATCATTAGGCCTCATTTCAAGTCGCAGTACATCAGACTGAGCTGAATAAATGTCGTGCTCGCAGGTGGGGCTCATTGAAAATCCTCACGATTGACTTGAAATGGTTCTTGACATATTTGTGCCCTTTGTTCAGAACTACAGCAAAGAGAAGAAAAGACCCCCCCCCCCTCCCAAACCTTTAAGGTTCTTTAATGATATACGGCTCTGACGCGTGAGGTGAGCGGGCGGCTCTTTGTTGCAGGGGGAGGGCGTGTTTTGAAGTCGGGCCAATCAATTAACAGTCACTTGAAATGGAGGGGGGGGGGGCAATTCACATTTAATTGTATTCAGGCTCATGTGGCCGTACAGTTAGGAAAAGGGGGGGGGGGCTACAAAAAAACCTACAAAAACGAGGTCGGTCTGTGGTCCTCGAAACCCAGTGGTGTGATATACTGCACCCTTAAAGCTCACAGTGGTATTTATAGTGGCTCTGGAGATTTCCCTTGTAAAGCTGAAGGCTTGACCTGTAAACCAGGGCTGCCTCTCGCTCCCAGCCGCCCACTCACCCGCCCGAAACCCACGTCTGCTCGGCTCGCATGAAGGCCTCGCCGCTGCAGACGCTACGAGGCTGGTAACAGTGTGTGTGTGTGTGTGTGTGTGAATGAGCTGCGGTGGTTCATGACCCTTTGGTCTTAGGTAATTTAAGTTCCTTCGGTTGTGAGTTCTTATTTAATGACTCAACATTATAAGGCTCTTTCACATGATGGTGCTGTAGCAGACATAACTGCGGTGGATCATTATTTTTCACTCCTGAATATTCTGCTGAGCATTTTATAGACAAATTTTATGTAAAAATACTGAAGTGACATCTTCAATTATCAGATTATATAAATAAAGCAGTAAAGGCCTCTCTGCTTGAAAATAATTACTCTTGATCAGGTTTCAAAATAGTTATAGTTAAATTTGTTTGTATTTGTGTTTTCTTTTTATTTATAGTTGAAGGATACATTTGGCTTCTGCCTCCAAGATCCATTTCAGTCTGGCTCTGCACTTTTATAGACGTGGAGTTGACAAAATAATCGGAACTACCTTCACAGCATTTGTGTAAATCAGCACCTTCATGAAAACCTGCCAACAGAGATTAATCTCAGTCTGCCGTCTGTTGTACCTGATTGTTTTATCGTGTTCCTTGTTCCACCCTCTTTTCTATTTGTGTGTCCACATGCTCAGTATTTCAGTGAGTGAGTGTCGGGGGGGCCACTTGTGAAGTTTGGACTGTAATGATGTAACATGGTTGTGTAAGTGTTCGGGCCCCTGGTTTTGCCTGAAGGCACAGGGAAACAAGCTGCAGCGCTGAACGTAGACGCTGGATATCTGAGAGTAATTGATTTTTTGGTTTTTAAACGGCCTCGACCCGCCAGTGAAGTTCCAGTAATTTCAGAGGAGAGCTCATAAAATTACACCTGTCTTTGCTGGGAGCCATTCTGGCTTTTGCAGGAAGCATTTGGGCTGAATTCCTCCAGAAAAAATATTTGACTTCCTGTTGTTTTAAAAGAGTTCAGCTCTCAGGTTTTATTTTTATAGCTGGAAATCAAAAATCGGAAAAATAGAATTGTAAAAAGTTGCCCTCCACGTTTAGATGTCAGCAGCTACAAGAAGGTTTCAGTGGTAGATTAGCTCATGTGTGACACTGGAGAGGAACATCTAAATCTACCTAATCCGTATGAATCAAAAATCTAAATCGAAGCCATTTCATTTGTTTTCTAAGCCCCACTGGATTTTCCATCTTTTCATCTCTGTGCTGATTGTGTTTTCCAATCTCACAAGAGCCGCTGTCTGCCAGACTGTAAAGGGAAAGACAAATGCTGCTCGGCCAAAAGGAGGAGGTCAGAACAATATTATGAAGTTCATGTCAAAAACAAAAGGCCCCAGCTCGCCACAAAGTGGTTTCTTCCCCGCCCGCCCTCGCAGCCCTGAGCCGGCAGATAAGATGACACAAGGCGAGAGGTGGCCGTTATCTGAGGGTGTCGTTTCCACTCCCCAGGTCTCAGGTGCAGGAGGTTAGCGGACCTTTCTTCTTTTTTCTTTTTTCCTGAAGCAGGAATGTGTGGTAGCGAGAAGCAGGGCTGAGGTTAACAGGACCGTGTGGAGCTGTGGAAACTCTGTGAGCATGACATCACCCGAGAGCTCGCAGGAATGGAAAGGAAAGGAAATCTCCTCCCATGGAGAAAATGGAGGGATTTGAAAGAGAAACGCTGGGTAGGACTGTTCCGTTGGAGTAAACAGCGGGGCGGTAGACCGTACACAGTGTGAAATATTATCACTCAATGTGCAGGGGATCGTGCCCGTCAAAGAGTAACCGCTTGGTTTATGTTGTCAAACCACTTGCCAGGTAAAGCGATGGAAATCCAACAGCAATTGGCCCTTTGGGGGTTTTCTCGCCGTGTTTAGTTTGGCTTTCCCGGGGTTACTTTCTGCGGCCAGCGTCGACTTTCTTTTGAAAATGTCTTCCTATTTGTGCTTTAATTCATGGGTGAAACACAACAGTCGTCCAGTTTATGATGCGGCCTCGGAGCCAACATGTGAACCTGATTGAACCTGATGATTTTTGCTGCGGTGTTTGTCCTCCTCCTCCTCCTGATTTCACGGAACTGTAAAGAACTGTAAAGCCAATTTCCAAAGACGTCTGCTCGCAAATTCAAGTATAAATAAGTCAATGATTTTTTAATGTAGAATCTATCAGTGGAGCCGCAGCATATTAATTTAGTGATCCTTCTTCCAGTGTGAGCTTTCATCACTCTGCTCTCGGTTTATTAATCTCCGTCTCCTCACGACGCTCTCTGGCACACTGGCTAACCATCACACGTCTCATATTGTAGTAAAAAGACATTCTTCATGGACCCTTTTTCACAATAGCCTCAGTTTCCTGCCAAAAGTGAGCTGGAAAATGTCTCGTTCTGCCAGGGATCTCTGAGCCATAGGAGGTTACAGCTTTGGACGGACTTCAGATCTAACGTTGCGAAGTTGGGAATAGACACGGTCACAAAAAGACTGAATGACGATAATATTATTCCCTGCTGTCCAACTATGTGTAATGAGAAGATCCATGGTTGCATATTTTTTCAGCAGATGCATCAGTCCATCTTTCTAAGCCCTGATATGAGTCCCTCCAAGGTATTCCTGAGCATAACACTGAAGCTGCAATTGAAAGCTGCCTTAAAGTGAAGCTTAAGCACCCCCGATGAGTCTTAGACCCTGTCTCCTCCATGTTAGTAAATGGGAGGTGCATGAGCAGAATTAAAAAGACATAGTACTTG